CCAAAACCAAATATATTACCTCAAGCCTCATCATCCCAAAGGAAGAAGGTAGGCTTCTTGTCTCCATCCTCTTGGTGCGCTCTCTGCCAAATTCGGGAAAATCCGTAGCTCCAGGTGCATGCAGGCATGTAGCAGCACCAGTGTCGACAGTGCATTGTGGCCAGGTGAGCCCTCTTCCATATCAGCAGGGCTTGTGGTCATGCGCTTCAGAATCAGGGTCACGGTGATCACCAGGCTGCTGTGAATGCACAGCTGAAGCACAGCAACAGCAAAAGGAGCAGAAAAAAATGACACGAAGAAGCATCAAAGAGATGCTTCTTCCACCTACAAAGAAGCACTGTTCTTTCATCTTGATTAAAGATCCTGCTCAGGGTAATCTGGGAGTTTACCATCTCCTGAAAGAATTTCTGTAATCTGGGCTGACACCAAAAGGAAGCGAGCATCCACACGCAGGGCCTCACTCCTCAGCTGCTTCCCAAGTCAGCTCTGTTTTCTACTACCTCCCAGTTCATATCCATGGCAAGAGCTCGGGTTTAGTCTGTGAAGTGTTAGTGAATCATTTGTCAGCTACATCAGGACTTTCCTATCTACTTTTGATCCTCTGAGACTACTCTGTATGTACAGGGCAGCGTTAACTAGACACAGCCAAAGACTCAGCTTGTAGCTGCAAGACAGGAAGCATCCCTAGCTGGAAGTTTAGGTTTGGGATCGCTTGCCCGCAGGGACAAGACCAAAATGTTCAGTTGAGAGGTTAAAACCTGCAGAACGGCAAGATGCTCCCTGTGCACCCTAAAATCTTGCGAATTGAATTCTACCAACCCTTCACTTCCTTTGATCTCTGGTAGAAAATTCCCTGGTTTATTCCTTGCACAAAGGAGAAAAGTGCTCCGTTTATGATAAGCAGAGGTTTATTGACAGGGCTGGGCTTAAGGTGTGCTTCCGTCAGAATGCAAATCATTGGGAACAGCCTGAGCTCCTTTCCCTTATTACCTCTCCTCACATTTTTCCTGCCTCGACGTCTTCTCTGTGGGTGTGCTAGCCAATATAAGCTTAGTTTTTTTCCTCTGCATTTGGCACACGGTTCCTTCTCCTTTTTCTCAAACAGCTTCAGCCCCTAACTCGCTCGTCTCCCGCCTGTCATCTGCTACTATTATCCAGTTGTACACGTAGCACAGCTTAATCATAGTAATATATTATGCCTGCGTGTGTGTTTTCCCCCTCCTCCGGGTATTTACAAGATATCTGTGAGTTGAAGAGCAGTCTGGAAGACTGAAAATTGTTGGTGGACCACACAAAAGAATTTGACAGAAAGAAGACATCTTTCTTTTATCCAGCTGGCAGTTTATGATCTCTCAAAACAAAGTTTATTGCCAATTTATTGATAATAGAAGAAACTGTGGGGTTCTAAGATACATTAAAAGTTAAAAATTGTTAGGTCCAAGTATTAGATAACAAGTGTCTGATCATAAACTGAGTGACAGAAGTATAGAAGTTGAGCATTGAGTAACTGGAAGTCACTTTGTTCTTCAGCCAGTCTAGTGTGGATCAGCTCTGAAAAACCTAAAGGAAAGCTTTAAAAAACCTCCACTATACTCTTCTCTTGTTAATGTATTTTTTATCAAGCGGAATCATAAAATGGCAAATATTAATTTATATTTCAGTAATTAGTAAAATTATTTCTATAAATCTTTTGAACCACATAGAAGTGTCCGAAGATGTTGCATACAGAACTATAAAGCCAGAGGTTTAAATTAATGTCTTTCCCTCTTAGTAGTATTAGTATAATAATATTTTTGGACTTTGAAAAATTTATTGTATTGGTCCACTCTTCAGAGCACCATATTCTGGATATTCTAAACAGTTCACAGTTCCATAAACAGAATGTTCAGGAAGATTTTGAGATTTAAGTCCTTTTGGCCCCAGAGGACAAAAGGGTATAAGCAGGAACTTGTGTTCCAGATTACCAGCTTTGCTCCTGCATTTTGAACTAGATTTCACAGGCACTTAAATCTTGTTGTTAATGTTTTGCTTCCTCCTACACACCTTCTCTGGAGCAAGTCCTAAAGCACCTTTAAACGGTGGAGGAGGTTCAGCTCCTCTTTCCAACCTGTGTGGGAAACTCCATATGTTTCCATAGATAGATGAGTTGCAACCCCTTCCTTCTCCGAGAAGACTTGATCTCTGGGTAGTGTTATCTGAGCATGAAATATTTGAGCATGGTGCAGAGGCCACCACGTCTTCCCTTTGAAACACAAAGGGGAGGAAAGGTTATCCCTGAATTTCTAGTTAGGTCACTTGTTCAGGATGGGGGAGACCTGAGTGCAGACCTCAGCTCTTGTTTTGCTAGGTGGAAAAAACTGTGATTCGTGGGATAACCAGAGATATGCTTCATGAGTGGGGAAAATACACCACTTCTTGCTTTCTTTGTTTCCCTTTGCATGCTTAGTTGGTTTCCTGCTCAGCCTTTTGCATTTCATAGGTCTGTTTGGAAGTTTATATGCAGCGTGTGTTGTATGTGGAAAGAAGAGTGTCCACCTGAAAGCTGTGGGGACCAGGTGCCTAAATTCTGGTGTGAATCTCAACACTTTGCACTCATGATGTGAACCACAGCCTCAACCTCTAAAATGAAAAATTAGTAGGCGTTTTGTGATTATAGCGTAAACCGCCAACATGGTTAGGCAAGATAAGCATATACAGTTTTGAATATTAAATCCCAGCGCGCAAAAGGAACAGCTTTTGTGAAATTAGTCGCTTTCCCTGATCCAAGTTCCCTCGTTAGACTGTTCCCTCTGCCATAAAAACCTTTGCTTTTCATGCCAACGAATGAGATTAATCTTCTAAAACCTTTAGCATACTACCTGCAACATTACAACATTAAAAACAAATAAATAAACGTACCACGTAGTTCCCTGGTTTCAAACATCGCAGATTCAGGGTTCACTAAGAAGTCATCTCTCTTTTTCCTTTAAAAGAAGACAACCATATAGAATAATAGAGTTCTCTGTCTAGCATACAAGCCCATCTGGAAAGAATTTAGTCTGCAATAATTGTGGGCATTTGATTTAGCTTTAAATCCCTGTAGGTAATTCAAACGTAAATTTATTGGGGTGAGTTTATCCCCAAACCGCCATTGGATCCAATGTTTTAGAGATGAATTTGGCCCACTGCTCTAAAACTAGAGCCTGCATTGTTTCTGTTGCATCAGGATATTATTACATGCTGTAATGTCTGTCATTATAAGCAGACCTTTATTAGAAATAAAGTCAATAGAGACAATACAGACGATCACCTGAATCACATTTATTTTCAGACATTTAAAGATTAGTAATTCTTTGGTTATGCATATGTTTATAGACTGGTATCTAAATCACTTAGACAACAGTGGTCTAATTCATTACTTTGTTATTCTGTCCTCATCTGAGATAGTCTTTTTTGGTTAAGTAAAATTTCTGTCCTCATCTGAGATAGTCTTTTTTGGTTAAGTAAAATTCTTTGCATTTCACATTCTGCTTCAGAAAAAAAAAGTTTCAAGAGGCATTCAGCACATAATGTAAACAATGCCATCTGTCTTTTTCTTTGTAAAATCTTCTTTGAGATAGCCCCGATATGCCTACTGTTTTCAATCACTTAAAAGGCAGTAATTCAATTATATCATCCTCTATGTAGGAACTGCCATTGCTTTCAGTCCACTTCCAATCCTGACACAAGTAAATCACTTTGATAAGATCCCCTTTTTATTTATTTTTTTTCTGAGGAGACTAGCATAAGTAATGATGCCAGTGATAGACCAAGGACAAAATGACCATAATGGGCTTTCTGTAGCAAAGGAAAACATGTGCCATTGTGATTTATCGTGTTACTTGGAAAATGTTTTTCCTTGGAATTTCTGCAACAGCCACGCTCTCCAAGTGAAGGGCATTAGCAAATATGAATGGCCAAATGGTAAATTCAGACAAAACTTTCACCCAGCAGCAGATTTAAACAGCTATCACTACCTACATTTCTTAAATGGGAACAGAAGGTCAAAGCCATTTTGGAAATGTGCCTAGGTCGCATTCATCTTTGGTATAATGCCACCTACTTACATGGAAACGCGCTGGGAATGTGTAAGGTTGGATCTTCCTTACAAACTGCTATGGCTTATCGTGCAGATATGCCTTCCTTCTATTTAAAAATTGTTTGGGTGGCTTCAGTGCTTTGTGCCACCAGTGAGGCAGGGGCCTGGCAGACACGTCTAACCTCCCAGAATAGACGTGGCACGAGATCAGTAGTATCTGTAGACTTCCTGCTACAAACCGGCTTCATCCCTGATGCTGAGAAAGCATAGTTAGAGCTGAGCTGTCTCTGGACAGATCTATCTCTTGCCCCCGATTTCAGAAAAATGGGAAAGCGCCAGATGAGGTGGTCACGTGTGATGTGAAAGCTTGCTTGAAAGGAGCTGGACCACAGATGTCTCTTTGAACCCAGACTGATGACTCAGTACACATAACCCTGCCCAGAGAAGCTGTGGAAGCTCCAACCCTGGAGGTGTTTAAGGCCAGGCTGGATGGGGCTTTGAGCAACCAGGTCTAGTGGGAGGGGTCCCAGCCTATGGCAGGGGAGTTGGAACTCGATGATCTTCAAGGTCCCTTCCAACCTAAACCATTCTATGATTCTATGAACCTCAGAGCTTGTGTTTTCAAATTTGTGAAGAGTGCTGGTCTTATATTCCCTGTCTGGTACCTCATCCAGGAAACATAGTGGGAAGTTCACTCTACTTTGCTGAAGAAGCAGTACCACGCAGGTAAGAGGTGATCAGCGATGTTAAAACACCGCATGCCAAGTTCAGCATTTTCAGGGACATGCTATGAGGTAACCCTTTTGTTAAGTAATTTTGGAGAGTCCGTGTCAGAAAGCTGTGATCTGGACACAGGAAAAAGCAGCACGTTCACTGTATTTAACCTAATGAATTAGGAGGCTGTTTAGGATGTATTGATACAGTGGGTTGCTTCCTTTCACAGAGAAAGCGTGGAGAGCCTTATCCAAAAGCATTCCTATGCCCGATCCCCCATTCGAACCTATGGAGGAGAAGATGATCTTGGAGATGACAGCCAGGCAACACAAAGTAGAGGTAGGAAAGTGTGCTCATGAGGTAAACTGTGGTCACCTAGTTACGCTTGAGAAAAGGAGACCCACAGTCAGTACTGTGGTACTCTGAAGCATTTCTCTGGTGTGTCTTTCTGTCATGAAGTCCTATAACGAAGAAGAGTACTTATTACCTTATGGCTCTTCTGGACATCTGGTATACCCATGGCACTGGTGTGGGTGGCTAGTTCAGGAGGCAGCTCTAGACATGCCCATACAGCCTTTGCCAGCAGAAGAGAACTATATCTGCTTCCTCTTCAAGATTGTTGAAGAACAGGCAACTTCATTACTGTGGTGCTGAGAACAAGCTAACGCTCCCCATCCCTTCACAGACTTACTAGCTGGGGCTCAGCACCATTTGTAAAGTACCATATAGATGTGCCATTTGCTGCCCCTCCAGCCTTCTGTGAACAGAGGACTTGGTTCTGACCATCCTCAACCAGCTTGTGGTTAACCTGCTTTGCCTCTACAGGAAGAAAAGTCCATAGCTCCCTGGAAAACTGATGTTTAATTGTAATCTCTTGGTCTCTTAAAAGGTGCTTTTCCTCCTGAGGCAATTCACCTCAAATGCTTTATCAAATGGTTTGTCTACTTTAGCAGTCACAAAAGTAGTAGCAAGGCAGAATTGTTCTTCGTGGGGATACTCACTGGACAAATTGCATCTGTCATAACTGCCACTGGAAATAGATCTCAAACCCGTCCTGGGGGATCACTGACTGGCATAAACTTGTGTTGCGTTATACTTTGCATGTTGACTTTGTGACCTGCCTGATATGGAACAGCCACTTGAGGTAAAGCAGTTCTATCTGCCTTCCGACGGGCAGTGCCCTTGTCTTGTCCTCTAACTTCATACAGTGTTGCTAAGATAAGAGCATTATTTCTGGTCATAAGCTCTTTGGACTTGTGCAGGGAAAACACGCTTATTTTTAACCACGAGTTGCTCTTCAACAAAATGTGATTAGGTGGGCTTGTTCATACACGTCTATTCTAAGAGCAGTTCCTTAGATTGCGGAGTTTCTGGAGCAACTCCTCAGCTGGTACAATGCCATCCTTTCACATACTTCTGGGGGATTACCTTGCTTCACGTCAGCTTAGAGCCTAGGCCAGTTATTGTTGAAAACTTAAATTTTCCCTTGCCAGAAGTGCTCAGAGCAAGGCACCTTCTCTCCAAGAATTAAATTTCTCCCTGGTATGACGTCTTCCTTTGGGAGTGACAAAGCAAACAAGGTGAGCCTCAGCACAAGAGCTAGCCATTAAAGACTTTCATTTCTGAAGAGAATCCCTAGGAAGGTATCATAGGATGAAAGAATAGTTTATTACAATTAATTTTATGTATAATATATACAGGGTACAGTTCCGCATTTGCTCTCAATATGGCAAATGAGTAAGTGAGGAAGACGATGAGTTGTGGCAACCAACTTTTTCCTAATCTGGGAGCCATATGCTAGTATAGGACGTGATTGTTCTGGGCAACCAGAGGCATGCACAGGGGGGTAAAATATACAGCTCTTGCGGATGAGTAATTGGTACTGCCTTCACTCTCTGTTTAGGTCTGGTGTCCTCAAATAAGGAAAATTTGTTCAAGATATGAGGAGAGAAATAATGATCTTATTGAAATTCCACAGACGTTTTGATTTTTTTCTGATGCATTTTAAAACTACCTTCCATGCAAAATCACATCCTTCCATATATAAAAGAGTTGACAGCCAAATACATACATGTTTCTGGGTAGTGTGTGTTATAATCTCTCTGAGGCCTCAACTGCCTCAGAATTACTAGAGCACATTTCCTTGGTGCTGGCAAATGTGGTGTGCGAGACTTTTCAGAGTTGCAATTAGACACCATTGCTGTTGGAGGAGGAAAGGGAGCTCACGAAGGTTTCCTTATAAGAATCATAGAATGGTTTGGGTTGGAAGGGACCTTTAAAGGTCATCTAATCTAACCTCCCCTTCAATGAGCAGGGACATCTTCCACTAGATCAGGTTGCTCAGGGCCCCATCCAGCCTGGCCTTGAACACTTCCAGGGATGGGGCATCCACAGCTTCTCTGGGCAACCTGTTCTAGTGTTTCACCACCCTCATTGTAAAAAATTTCTTCCTTATATCTACTCTAAATCTTTCCTCTTTTACTTTAAAGCCATTAACCCTTGTCCTATCACAACAGGCCCTGCTAAAAAGTTTGTCCCCATCTTTCCTGTAGGATCCCTTTAATTACTGGAAGGCTGCCACAAGGTCTCCCTGTAGACTTCCCTTCTCCAGGCTGAACAACTCCAACTCTCTCAGCCTGTTCTCATAGGAGAAGTGCTCCATCCCTCTGATCATTTCACGATCGTTCGTGTGAAGGAATCATATACTTTATTCCATGTAGAACAAAGAAAGCCTATCACTGCTATTTATTTTTAATTACTTCCACACCCAACCAGAGCATTCTCAACTCGGCCAGTTTCAGCCATCTAAAGATGGTAGCAGCTAGCCTTTGGTAGTGTATTTATCACAAGAGGTCTATTTCCAGAGGAATTAACAGATATGAAATACATAAATCCAATGAAAACTCTTTAATGCATACTGTCTGGGTTCCTGTGCTCCAGCATGTGCATGCAGGATTCATAGTAGCCACCTGGAACAGAGCCAAATGTAAACCTTGCAGGCAAATCCAGATTCACATCCCGCTTTCCCTGTAGTGCAATAATGCTCAAATATCCCCTGATTTGTAAAGGGTTTTGCTCCAGTCTGCGAGCATGGTGTTATCCTTATAGTTTGGCTCCGGATCCTAACTTCCCAGCAGTTGGGATTTTGTTCAGTGGTGGGGCCAGGATTTGGTTCAAGTCCGTTTCTACTGCTGAATCAACACAATTTCTCTTTATTGTTACTGGACTGTTTCACTTGTTTCATTAAGCAGAGGAGGAACTAATCAAGAGTAGCTCTCTTTCTGTTTTAAGAATATATCCCTAAAGAGATATATGATTTTTTAAAAATAACTATTTGCATTTTTTCTCCCTGTTGTCATTTGCTTATAGTTTTGATTTGAGTGTGTGGCTACGATTGGTTAGTATACATAATTCCAATAAGTTTACCTTGATAGATAGATGTCTTCATATTTTTTCTCTCCACAATGTGGATGAACCTATCTTCCAGAATCAGATTTATGAAACTAATACCTGTTGTAAATTTTTTTTGTCTCAGAATGTTTTGCAATACTGGTTTGAAATGATATTTCGTCAAATATTCTTGCCAGTAAGTTCTTGCTTAAAGTAAGAAATGTTTTCTCAATGGATGAAGTTGGACAAGAAAGAAAATACAGAAGGAACATGAGTTGAATTATTGTTTGAATAGGAATAAAAATTAAGAGTTTATTTATAAGTTTTTATTGTATTCCCCATTTCTAGAAATCAGACATCTGATGATGACCAGATGCATAGAGGAACTGCAGAGGTGAAGGGCAACATCGTCACCAATTATTTGAAAATGACCACATATAATTATCCCAAAAAATTCATTGTTTCCAAAAAGCTTTACTGTCAAAATAAAATAATTAGTTCCAACTTAAAGAAACCATTTTTCCTTTTTCTTTAATGATTCTGCAGTCTGTCTTCAGAGAAAAAGTGTTTTAAAGAGGTGGAAGATTTGTGAAAGTAATTTTTGGAACTTTCCAGATTAAAAAAATACCAAAGAAACCACTTCCATTTGATCTAAAGTAGATAATTACCCTGAGAGCAAGTTTTTAATATTTTTGTGCTTTGCACTTAAAGCCCCACATTTCTTACTATGATTCATCGTTAGTGTTGTTTCTTAGAGCACTGTACACAGTCGGAAAAATAAGAAATGTTTTGACAGTTTAGAATTTTTTGTTCTATATTTTGGAAAGAGTCAGATTGAGTGAAAGATGCAGTGTTGACAAGATTTACTGGGGTAAAAAAAAAAAAAAAAGGAAAACCTGTAGTGCACATCACATTTTTCTGCATTTTTGCCAGACTGAAATTTTAGAAAAAAATAACCAGTTCTACTGTTACCAGCATGTCTTCAAAACAGGGATGTAATGCAGTGAGATTCCACATCAGAGTAGACACTTCAGAGTTTAGTGGCAGCATTACAAGGTTCTTCAGTGTTTAATGGCAAAAATGTCCAATGTGCAAAGCTGATTTTACTGTTCAAGCCGCTGCAAACAGCTTCTTAAAATGGAAATTTGTCTAAGATGTAGTGACAAAGGACAGCAACTGACAAAGAATAGTATAAAGAAAGATATAAGGAGAGAGAAGGATTTGGGACGCATTTCCAATGACAACTTGTCATTAAAATCAGCCTTGCTGTGAAAGACTCTTTTTCTCCCTTTTTGCTGATTTCCCAGCTTTGTGTGTTGCAGTGCAAACGTCAGGCATTCTTTCTCTTTGCTTGCAGGGTCAGCCTTTACAACGTCTGATAACCTGTCCCTCAGTTCCTGGGTATCCTCCTCAACCAGTTTTCCTGGATTTCAGCATCCCCAGTCTTTGAGTGCCCTGGGTACCAGCACTGCGTCCATAGCTACACCCATTCCTCATCCAATCCAAGGATCCCTGCCTCCGTACAGCCGCCTGGGAATGCCTCTTACACCCTCTGCTATAGCCAGCTCCATGCAAGGTAGTGGCCCCACTTTCCCTTCCTTCCACATGCCTAGGTACCACCATTATTTTCAGCAGGGTCCTTACGCAGCTATCCAGGGACTGCGTCACTCCTCCGCAGTGATGACGCCATTTGTATGAGTGATGTAAGACGAGAGAAGCACGAGATTTTAACTGTGCAAGTTTGGTATGAAAAAATACAAGGGACCTTCCTGAAAGGCCGGTGGCAGGAGTGTGGAACTCATAACAAACCAGCTAAGAAAATGCGTTACGGATATAGATTCCTCCGTGGAGGGATGAGAAGAAGCAAGCGTGCAGCTTGGAGCTGCTCACAGATCTATGTGAAACACAGCTGAAATGGACCCCAAAGTTCCCAGGATTTTTTGGTCACGTGCAGCTTGTTCCAAAGGTGCATTATACCTAGCGGAAAGAGATTATGTTTGTGCAGCAGTGTACAAATTAATTGTGTATACGTCTTTTTTCATATGCTAGAAGAATTCTGAAAAAGGCAATACTCTTACTCATCTTCATCTCTTCTTGTGACTGATGAGCATCTAAACAGAAAAATGTATTGCTATAACTTTGAGCATGTTTTAGGCTATCTCAGCACACACGTGCTGGGAACGGGACAAAGTGGAGAAGGCCACTGTCCTTTTTAAAAAACTGGCTTATATTCACCAAAAGCAGTATTTCTTAGTTGCTACTATAATCCCAAAGAGAAAATTATTAACAAGTCTTTCTTTCTTTGTTTGTTTCTTTCACAAAACACTTATCAGTTCCAAGAAAGAACTGTGTTACAGGACTGTAGCAGTAATGATGTATTCTGTCCTTCAGTCTAAAAAGAAGTTTGTCCTATATCCTAGGAGGAGCAATTTAACTATCTGTTAAGGCATGATGAAGGAAAACATTGATTTGGGAAAATCTGTAACTTAAACTTAGAAACCTAAGATATCAAATCTTTAAATCAATGCTTGTTTGCTGCTGCGCTCGCCACTGAAGACCTGTTTCTATCCGCAAATGTGTACCAAGTTAACCAAATTTCAGGCTAGATCAGTCTGTAGACTCTCTGGATGAAACTATAATCGATGGACCGGTATAAGATGAGTGGCATTGGAGTATCTTTCTACTTGTTCTGATTTTCTTGGGTTTGGTCATGGCTAGTCATGGCATTATACAAGCTCTTTGGCCAGGAAAATGAGGGTTGTACTGCCTCTTTCCATGTCTCAGTAGAATGGTGGAGTTTCCTTGGGAAAATATTGGTGCAGAACATCACACATAATTTTTTTTTTTTTTAATTCATTTCTGCCTTTTTTCAGTTAGTAATTAGGGTTCTCATTCGAAGTATTGTCCACCTTTTCTAGTATGTTAAGTCTGATGCAACAGAGAAACAGTAGAGGTATAAGAAAAATTGACCTCTCTGTAGAGAACTAGCATGAATCCTTTGCACTGCTGAAAAGAGTACCAGTGTGATGCTGCTTTTCTGCATGGCAGGAGCTGGGATTTCACTGTAAATAAGAAGCCAACACAGAGTTTCTGTATAGAGTTGCATCCAAGTTATAGATGATAACGCATCTACTGACAAAAAAGAACTAGCAATCCAATCTCATATATTAAAGATCTGCGTAGAACTGGAACACAGAGTGGAAAACAGACTTTTTCGGCACTATTCTCCTCTACTTTTGACCAGTGTATATTGGTATCATGTGGTAAGAAGTGAAGTGCAGTACACTGAGTCACCTACCTCCCATCTCTGTGAAGTGCAAGGCAAGTCACGCACCTTTTTTTGTCCCGTTGCCTCGTCTTACATGCCCCATCACACAAAGCAATGACAGGCTTTTCCTTGTTTCTACTGTAGGCCAGTACTTGCATCCCACAGTTAATGGTCATCTTTATGTTTTTCCCAGTAGATGAATTTAAAATCTTGACAAATTGGCCATTTCAATCACCTCAGCTATCTGCAGTATCATCCTAATTTCCCTTGACTCACTGTCGGACCTGCTGATAAAAAATGACCTGAGGCAACTTGCAACTTCTGTGCTCTGTACGTGAATGAAAATGAACTTTTATTTACAGTTTCTCATTTCAGAGCTACTACAAGGAGTTCCATAAATGCATATAACAGGCCAAGCTCTGTAGTATTTAAATCACTTAGTATCAGACACTGAATTTGGCTTGATGCATCCAAATATTAGATTTTGTTCCAGGCTATCAGGTTCACCAGGAAAGTGCATGTTGCAAGGTTGTGTCTACTTACAACCCATTTTGATATAAACCCCCTGTTTTTCAGGAAATTAGTTGATGCTGGCCCCACAACAACATAACTCTTCAAGTACATATATGATTCCACAGAAATGAGAATTTCAGAGGAGATTTGGAAGAAGACATTAAATCCTCTCCTTCAGTTGCTTGACTGAAGGCCCTATGATGACACACACCAAAGCCTGTGGGGAAATTATCTCTTTTATGTTTCCTTCTGCAGCTCCATTAATTTTTCTGGAGCTGCAGGGGATATGGTTAGGTTCAGAATTCAAGACAGTAGCTTTAATGCTGATACTTCCATCAGGAAAGGGTCAAGTAAATAGGCAGCTTTTACACAACTCCAGAAATAAGTTTGGATCAGGTAGGCTGATTGAGGCATGCTTTACAAGTCACATAAAACTTGCTTGTACATTTACCTGTCCTTCCTTTGTGAAGCAAGTTCAGAGAACTAAACCTTACAGCTTTTTTAGCTGTTCTGAAAACACCAATATTTGGCATGCAGAAATGCACCTGGTACTCTTTCAGAGAAAATTCTCCAGGCTCTTCTGGGAGAATGAAACTGGATTTTGACAACATCATTTACAAAGATATTAAATGAAAGAAAAGTGCTTTTCACTACAAATAAAAGGTGATTCATATCCGAAAAAATATGGCAGTAGACTGGCCCTGTATAATAACATGGTAAGGCCAATTCCTCATCCAGATTCTCTGTGAAGAGTTTCATATTGTAGATGATGCGGAACTGTCTGCCAAAACCCACAGCTTGATTTTTCCCATCAGATCAAGCCTCTCTCAGTGTGCTCATCCCTCTCCACGCTGCTCTCTGGCATATGCCGCTCTCCGATGGTTTAATTCCTTTGCATCAGAAACCAGCTGGGTTCCCCACTAATGCAGAGTCATGGGCAGATCCCAAGCAAGGGAATGAAGGCAGCTGATGAGGGCCTTCCCTGGGAACAAGGTCAATACGTATGTCCGGTTCTCACCTCCTCTTCTTTGCCTTCACAATCCCACCTCCAAAATCTGTTGGGTAGCGTTGAGGTTGAAGGGATTAAGTTCACAGAGACCATAGGACGCCCAGTGAAGAGGTCTCGGCACCTTCCAAGGTCTCTTCTCCCTGTCCCTCTCACCGACCTGTGGGCAGGGAGAAGCATGGTAGTGATTCCAAGGATAAAATTCCTGCCTCGCTGAAGTCAGCTGCAAATTTTTTGACTGCAATGGAGATGGGATTTCATTCAGCATGTTTACCTAAAAATGAAGTCTGACTGTAAGAACAGTGACTGTAGTGACAGCAACAATATAGGAACTCTACAGAAAAGACTAAAAACTGACTACAAATCAGCTTTAGCATTGATTTCACAAGTGGGAGAAAATGAATGTAAATTCATAATTAATAGCTTAAAGACTGAAATCGCTTTTCCTAAAAAAAATTATCTGTACTACTTTGACAATAGCTCAGTAATTTATTTAAGGAGTTGCTGTACTGCTGTCAAAATTATATCACTTTCAGGACAGAACATCTGTTGCTGTTAGATGGTCTAGGAATGCCAAATATAATCTAGAGTTCATTTTCCAATATAATTCACATTTTATATCCCATGAGAAGTGCTCTTCACCTTTATGAGCTCTCTTGGCTGAACAAACTGGTACTGGTTTATGTTGTTGTGTTTTTTGGTTTTTTTTAAAGGGTGGAGAGAACATGCCTGAATATGCTTTTCAAAGAGAATGATAAGATTATCCTCCAAAGTGTTGCAAGTACTTTTGGGTGTTTTCTGGATTACCCTTTTATCCATAGACAGTCAACAGCCTCAGGTCTTTAATTCAACAAAAGCATCTCAAAGACTAACAAAACTGACTTGGATGCATCTGTCTGATTTTTTTTTTTTTCTTCCACTTTTGGAGCCCTGAGAGAAACTAGACATAAAAAACATTTTAAATTTGGCTGTTTGGTTTGCAGTATTGCTTTATATGGCCTGAGGCACTGTCAAAGATAGAAATTCAATGCCACTGGTTTCAGTGGTGCTCTTCTAGGTATAAGCTGACAAATAAGCACAGACAGAGTGGATAAAGGTGCAGAGTTTCTAATGGAAATGTTTCTTCACGAATTCAAAGATGGTATGATAGCTAACTTACTTGGCAATACAGTCTATGAAATGCAATAGCAAATTTTCTCCCAGAAGGCTTTATCCATGGAAGCCGGGACACTGCATGGGTGTGTACACATAAGATGTTGCAGCTTTCAACATCCAGCAAATACTAACCAGCATTTGAAAATGAACCTCTTTTAAAGTTAAAACATTTTGGCTGGCAACTTGATTATGCACTACATCTTCTTTGTGTGTGTGTACTATAGGGAAACAGATATTTCGATGAAAATTATTGCAAAAACTTGGGGAGCTTTCCAAAACTGTAAGCTAATATAAATTGTGGTAATTTACCCCCAGATAAGGGGTAAAAGCAACGGTGAGATCAGTGTAACACTTAGGGCTCCTTATCTGGGTGGAAGTTGTGGCCACAGCGCTTATACTCATCATCTGCAGAGGGATGACATTCACTCGCTGCAAGATTGGTTTTGGTTTTGGTGAGATCTCATTCTCACTGTTCCTTACAAAGTGTTTTCTGCTGCAGGAGATGTGGTTTCTTTACTAACCACTTACTTGCTGGCCAGAGGGATTTTGTATTACTCTGTGATAAACTGTCCTTGCATATAGTCTCTAGTTTGTCAAAAGACAACTTCTTTTTCTTTATTTTATCTTTTTAAAAGAAAACTAAGCAGTGATTTAAGTAAACTCTGAAGTAACTTTTTATGATAGTTTAAGGACAAAAAATACAGTTTGCTGTATTTTACCTTTAGCACATTTAAATATTCTCTTCTTTTTTTTTTT